ATAAAGTTTTGTCAGAAAAAAATTGACCTTGTATATTCATACTTAATGCTCTATTTTAGAGGTTTTCAGTTGAAGTTATTTTTTACTGCAGACTTTTTTAACAACTCTTTCCAGCAGGTTCACATGAAAAAGAAGTTCACATGAAAAAGAAACTGTTGAAAACGAATCAAAACCCAATTTTTTACTTTTCTTTGACCGTTTTTTCTAAAAGTTGAAAAACCTCCAAAAAGTTTATGTGGTCGTATCTTTTGAGTGCAAAAATATGTTTTGATAAACTTTGAAACCTAATTATAATTTATATTTGGATTCAATTAAGAACCTTTTTTTTTTCGAAAATTAGTTATCCTTAACCAAGAAATGCGAGGGGGATTTTTTTTATGTATTTCTATCAGTTTGCAAATCACTTAGATTTTGCCTTAAATCAAAGATATTTTTATTTAGAGACTAATTGCATACGATAAGGTTTAAACAATTTTAGTCTCAATAAATTACCTCAATCGTCTGATAATTTTTTAAAACTAAACAATTCGTTAGAATATTGATTTATTTATTTAGATTTTATTCAACAGCCACTATACAAGTAAGGTAAATTAAGAGTTTCATACAAGATAAATATAAAAAATCTTGAAATTTCTTTTTGAAATTAAAGTAGTTAATATAGAAAATACTAAACAAAAACGTCTTGGTTCAAAATGAGTCTGCAAAAAAAAAAAATTCAATTAGAAAATTGAAAGAGGGTATATTTTTGTGGCCTATCTTTGGAAAAAAATAATTTTTTGCTTCATCTGATCAAAGAAAAGTGGACCCTGGGATCAATTTAAAATTATGAAAGTCTTAAATTTTTATTCCTCTAGAATTTTTAGAAGCTGCATGTCAAAATTATATTTAAAACAGAAAGTTAAAGCTATCAGTTAAGCTGTGGATACTTTCTAGTGGTCATCATCAAGTTAAAAATTTGGAAAAACTAAACAAGAAGATGTTGACTGCTATTATCCTCTTTGTTAACTGTGTACTATAATAGACGTACACATTATCTTTTTTAATTCACTTACATAGACTTTAAGAAGCTTACATTAAAAAAAGGAAATTCATTTTCTCAGAACACTGTTAAGTTTTTGTTCTTGGTGTTTGTCATCTTTGCAACTAAAAAACAACTGTTTAAAATCCCCATGCCTTAACTTAATAAACTAAAATATCAATGACAAAGTTGTTTCTTGTACGCTAAACATCAATGACAAAGTTGTTTGTTGTATGCTAAAATAAATATTTGTTGTTGGTAATAGTACAAGTATAAAAATGGCATCTGGAGAATATGCCTCAGACACGTAAGACCCGTGGTTGAAACCCCACGACTGGGCAAGTTCTGCAACATCGGTTGGGATTGAGGCATGAACTTCCTATAAAATGCTCTTCCGTGGTATTCTGGACTTCTTGGGGCACCTAAAATAAAAAAAATTAAAAAAACTCTCTTCCCCTTAAAGTATAAAGAAGTTGATCACCTATAAGACATATAAAAAATTAAACAATCATGAATCTGAAGATAAACCATATTTCATTTTGTGCCGTGTTAGTAATAATGAAAGAGATAAAAAACGATGTCGGAAGATCTGCAATACAGGAGCACACCTATGTTGTACTTACAAACAGGTCAAGCTACTTAAACAGGTTTTATGATATGCTAAATAAGTCAAGTAAAGAACGATAAAAACTTTTTTGAAAAAAATATTGTTAATTGGAATGATCTATCTATGCTTGTAAACTGAAGTTTATTCCAGAAAATTAAGTCTTTTAGTTCCTTTATACGTGTTGATGTTGATGAATGACTGGGATCTCTAAAGAAAGTCATGAATTTGTTTGATCCATATTAAACTTACAACAAAAGAAATACACCGGGGTCAACATAGTGATGATACTAGGCATAGTTCGAAACGAAGAGGAGAATCGTCACAGTCTGAAAACACTTTTTCAACTCCTTCAAACCAATTAGTTTTAATTTACTTTAGCCTTTGACCTCAAACTCAGCAAAATCATCCTTGGATTATCTATAAGTACCTTATTTTCTTGTCTTTACTTAATATTCAATTTAAATCAAGCAATAACATAAATTTTTTTTTTTAAATATAACGCCACGGTGGAAAAACTTGTGTTGCTATTGTGAGGGGTCAAAAAACAAGGACAAACGAAAAAACAAGGACAAACGAAAAAACAAGGACGAACGAAAAAACAAGGACAAACGAAAAAACAAGGACAAACGAAAAAACAAGGACAAACGAAAAAACAAGGACAAACGAAAAAACAAGGACAAACGAAAAAACAAGGACAAACGAAAAAACAAGGACAAACGAAAAAACAAGGACAAACGAAAAAACAAGGACGAACGAAAAAACAAGGACAAACGAAAAAACACGGACAAACGAAAAAACAAGGACAAACGAAAAAACAAGGACAAACGAAAAAACAAGGACAAACGAAAAAACAAGGACAAACGAAAAAACAAGGACAAACGAAAAAACAAGGACAAACGAAAAAACAAGGACAAACGAAAAAACAAGGACAAACGAAAAAACAAGGACAAACGAAAAAACAAGGACAAATGAAAAAACAAGGACAAACGAAAAAACAAGGACAAACGACTATTGGATCACAAGTAGAAAAATTTGGAAAATAGCAAATTAATAACAAAAATCGTTAACAAATGCAATATTACAAAAATTTTTCTAATTCATGTCTCTTAGATGTAAAGTTGACTTTATAACTAAAGGATATTGACAGCGACCACCACTTGAATATCATACTTATGATTCCTAGATTAGAATTGAATAAATAAATGTCTGGATAAGAATTGGGAATATTTTTGGTCATTCTGTTGATCTCCTTGAACCTACAAAGAGAAAATAATGATTCACTCATTTTGGCATTTTTACATACTTTGGCATTCAAAAGATACGGCCTCATAGAGTTCGAAATCCCCTCATTTTAAGAAGGTTTCAAAATATTTTTTTCTAAATATTTAAAATATTTAGAAAAAAGGTCAAAATAATAAAAAGAGAAAGAGTGGTTTAAAATAAGAAAAACTAGAAAGACTGGTTTAAAAAATTAAGTGATTAAAGACAAATTTATCCACACAAATAAAATATCAATTATATCATAATTTTCCAGGAATGATTACTTCCTAAATAATTTTAAAATAGTTCTCAATTTTCTCATCATTTAATAGTTTTTGTTTAAACTGATCAAGAGTTGTACACACTGGTCCTCGACAAATTAAGATCGATAAAAATGTTAACGAAAACTGTTTCCTTTAAGACCCTTTAAGTACTTTGTTTGTACATCACAAATATGTTGAAGTTAAAATCCTAGTTGCTTGCCTAAGATTTTTAAATTACATTCAAATTGATCATTTGTTCTAAAAAGCGTCAATGTCGGGTTTAAATACATGGTAGTGTGACTAGATCATATATGTATATTTATAATTTTTAATTAAAATAATTTTGTATTACTAAATAATTAAGTGTTCTATCTGACTAAATTAATAAATTGTTGAACTTGTATCGAGTAAATTGATTAATACAAGTTCAATAGAATGGACGGAGAACGAAGCCGAAAATAGTTTAAAATTGTAGTACAGTCTTTGTTGTATAATTATTCCAACGGCAAATTAAAACTGCGTCTTTTCGTTGAAAAATAAAATTTTTGAATTGTATTTTGTAACCTTTGTAAGCTGTAATCAAAATGGATGACTCTCTTAAAAGTTGACTGGATAAGTTTTAAACAAGTGTTCCAACTATCAAGTAGTAGTAATCAAAACAAAAGTCTATGTAAAGTGATCGTCTTTTGAATACCTCAAAAGTCAAAAATAAGTTTTAAGTTTGGAAATCGGAAATGACAATAACTGAACTGAGTCTTTTTAACAAAAAAGATTCTTGTATTCTGAAGGGGGTAAACCTAGCAAAAAAGAAATATTATCAGATTGATAATGATTTTTATGGTACTCAAATTAAACTCCTGTTTAACAAAGTAAGGTTAGATTCCTTTTGTTTTTGTATCTTATTTTAAATCAACTTTGATAGTAAATGGTTTGCAGACAACCACTGTAAAAATCCTTTATGCTATAATTTAACTACAATCACTCCGAGAAATAAATACGCAGGAGAAAGAGAATGTATACAATTCAAACTGCAATTTAGATATTTTTTCCAAGTATTAGAACAATAGATGTGCAGTTTTGCAAACGTATGGTAACCTTAAAAAATGTTACGACAGGTAAAACTAAATAAGATCATGCTTTAAATAATTTTATGTTATCAATGTAATAATAAAACAACTTATTTAATAATAAACATTTAAAATATGTTTAGTATATGAAAAACGAGATACTCCAAACATCATGAGCCCAGTGAACATTTCACTTTTTAATGAACCATATTGTATGATCGTTATAGCTTAATTCCCTCTTCCTGAACTACATTATTACTTACATTTATTATGAAAGTAACAATTAAAACAATATTTTACCCCTTTTGATTTTAATTCACTTAGCAATTGCTCCAATCGGATTTAAATTATATGTATACATTTACATTTTTATTGGTCTTTTAATATCATTAATGATCATTTTTTCCATACATTGGGTTCGTGAATAGTTACTAAGAATTTTTTTGAATCATATATAGTTTTGGACTGAACATGTCGTAAGTCAGTTATTTGGTTAGGTATTTCTGCTGAATTTTAATAAATAATGGTTTAAAATTTTTTTTGTATTGTACTCTTATTAATTTTATCCATAAAAATTATAAGTTGATATTAAAAGTCTACATTTTGACATCAGAATGAAATAATGTCCTTTACTGTAAAAAAAGTTATATCCCTGATTAATCACGTCCTCTTTTAATTTTCAAAGACGTAAAAACTATAAATATTACTATTATCACAAATAATAATTTTTTGTTTGTAATAATATCTAAACAATTTATATATTGTTTTAAAAAAACAAAACAATGTTATTTAAAATATTTTAGTTACTTTTTATAACATATTTATGTTATGGTTTATTCTACTGCAGACAGTTGACATTATTGTTGTTGTGTATTATATACAGAAACAACATGCAAATATCTATAAAAGCCAGGGTTCACTCCAACTAAAGCTTCATAACCTGCAACCACGGACCAAAAGATAATGTTTTTATATATCAAAAATATAAAGCGTAAAAGGTAGAAAAAAATAGATGTTAAAGAGATAAAATCGAAAACCTCAAAAGTCACAAGTACATTTATTAAAGAATGTAGCTGTGATCTTTAGTGTCAATAAAATTATCTACTTTTGTAAATAGGTTTATTATTTGCGTTTGTATCCATATTTTATATGCTTTGCATAAGACTTTATTTCTTTCTCATTTTTCCAAGATGCAATCTTGGTATTTACTAGACATGTTTCACTCCACCAACTATTTAGGTTAGAATACCACATCGGAAACATGGGTGCCAAATGTGCCATCGCACATAACCGGCATGTGAATTTAGTGTCGATAAACGATCCAGTATTTTTCCATAAAAAGTATTGATTATAATATATGTCATTTTGATCGAGAAAATTTAAATACTTTGCAAGATCTTTTACTGATGGAAAATCGTCCACATGAATATAACTGTGAGGGGGAGCAATCCTTTTGTATTCATTAGGATGAGCTCCCATAACAACTGGTACAACATCATTTCTAGTAAGAACAAAAGTAAAATTAGAAAATTAAAAATACTTTATTCTAAATTAAAAAAATATTTTAAAATTTTATATTTGATACAAGTATAATATAATTTTGCATTCAACCTTTTTTACTTAAAAAACAAACTATGTTTAAAAGCAAATAATTTATATCATACATTATAAAAATGTTTATTTTATGTACTCATCGGTTTGCCGGCGCTTCTCTAAACGTGCATAGCAGTAAAATGCGTAGCAACACGAAATAAAACAGTTATTTTGTCTTGAAGTTTAGCCTATCGTCAGTTTTTGTCCGTTCAGATTTTGAGAAAAATGCAATTGAAACTTGAAAAGACCAAAAAATATTCCAAATCTATTTTTTACCAAATTTTATATATAATACACCAATATATACACTTAAAAACCATTTTTAATAAATATTGAGTGTTTAAAATAAGGATTTTTGACTTTTAAACAAGTTCCTGATAAATTTTATAAAACGCAAAATTTGTATAATGTTCTATGTCAATTTTATTGCTGTTTTTATTATAAATTTGTTCTAAAATCACTTTATCTTTTTAAATATCAATATTTATCTAAGTGTAACAAACTTATTAAACGTTTTATGTAAATAATGTCTGTAAAGCGTATTTCAGATATTATTTGATTGTGTTTAAAAACAATAATTTGTTTACATGAAACATTTATACAAAAAAATAAAAATGTATATAAAAAAGGGCACATTGTACAACTAAGCACTAAGATCGTACAACTAAACACTTTAGACATGGAGAACATCATTTTTTAACATCTTTTTCTTTTCTTTTAAAATTAGAGAACTTCTTTTGGTCTGACTAGACAGTTTTAAGGTAACAGGATAATCTGCGCATGTATCCTTTCTTGTTTGATTGTTTACCTAAAAAAATTATGGTGAAGTCATCAACATGATTTGACTTGATAAAACAGTAAAAGGATGATGGGCAGTGTATTATAATTTTTTTTGTACTTAAGTAAAAGGCACTTGGGTAATATTATAAATTTTAGCTATAGCCTGAATATTTAAAAAATCAACATTTTTCATCTACAGGATATTGACTGGTTTCTGGTGCCTAAGAGACTTTAATATATTTATCAAACTTAGCTGATTGTATAGTCTTATTTTAATTTTTGGTCAATGCTGCTATGCACCGCATCCACTTCATGAACACAAGCAAGGCCGCTTGCAGAAAATCTTTGAGTGGTAAACTCAAAGATTTTCTGTGTGTGTTTAAAAAAAATGCTTTATCGCAATGCTCATAATACTGTTTTTTTTTTGCAAAACGCAGGAACTAGACCATAAAATGGTGCTTTTAAGCTGTGGATGTGTGGTAAGCATAAACTTATAAATTTTTAGGATAGCAGATGCCGTATCATTTCCTAATCTGCCAGACTGGTTTTCGTACCTGATACAACAGTAAACAGCTTTATCCATGGAAAGATGTGCTGTGATTTTATAAATACACAGTTTTCTAAGATAAAAAAAGTTAGAGATCTCAGTTTTAAACAGTATTATAACATTCTTTTTGTTTATAATCTTCTTTTTGTTCAATATGATATGATGCTGAGCTTGCTCACAACCACCTAAAGAACTTTCAGCATTTTTGGTTTTGAAGTCACATACAGTCGATTGGTAGAAAATTCAAGTTTAAAGTATTTACTTTTGTTTTGGAACGGCATTACTGTGAGTCTATAACAGGAATACCATTTTTGTATTCCTTGATTTCATCTCTAACTGCATCAGAAATTTTCTTTTTTCTATGTTTTCCTTGTTTTTTTGGGTTAGTTGTGTTTGTATCCATTTGTAAATGTTTATAAAAATAAGAAAATTCTTTGTTAGCTAATGTTGAGAGTGTTTAAAAAGAAAGGCAAACTCTTATGGAAATGCCTTTAAGGCAAAAAAAGCAGGCAAATGAGAATTTCGCCTGGATAAAACTGCCAGTGTTTTTTTATTTTTCTTACAATATGTTTTGTATTTTTACTACAAAAGTGTGCTTTGATGTCTTCATTGAATCCTCAAAAGTTATTAAACAGTAACCCTCGTTTTTTGTGGAAAATTACTGTGGCATTTAAATTTGCACTGTGTGCAGTCCTATTCATTACAGATCTCTCTTTTTCTTTTTATCATTTTATTTCTAAATTCATACTTCTGGCCAGCTTGACGTCTTTTTTATTATTATTACATTTCCAGTTATCTGGGTTTCTGGTTTTTGTGCGCCCTTTTGATGTCAAGGTTTGCTCTGATGGTACACCTGTATATATATATATATATATATATATATATATATATATATATATATATATATATATATATATATATATATATATATATATATATATATATATATATATATATTAGGGTGACAATAAAAAAAAAATTCTTTGAAAGTTACCACTACATTTAAACTGTTTTCGATCTCTATACGAATTCAAAAAGACCTTAAAAAGTTATTTTTGACCACTTTAAAAATTGATTATTAAGATATTTAACTTTTTTTCTGATTTTTTCCATCTTTTGTGAACATTAAGCTTAATTATTTTTTCTTATGAACTAATAAAATAAATATTTCCTGCACATTTTAATTTTAGAAAACTAATTAAAAAATTGCATTTACAGATTAGGATGGAAAAAGAAAAAAAAAAAAAAAATCAGTTCTCATACAATTTAAATAGAAGTGCAAGAAGACCATTGTATCTACTTAAATCACATATTTCTGAATTACCACATTGTCTCTACCAATGGAACAGTTTTAAATCATTAACAATATCTTATCATTTCTAGATCAAATTAATTTAAAAGCTTAAATAAAGCTTTGCATGTGCAACTAGTAAAAATGTTTATATGGTATGCAAAGAAAACCCTACATGTCAGAAGGGTTTTCTTTGCATACTTTTCTTGCAAAGTTTTCTCCTCCAAAAAATCGTAAACCTCTAAAAACGTAAACCTCTAAGTTTCAAGTAAAGACATTTTAATAATTATTTTGTAATGTGTGGATTTGTATAATTATATAATACACTGAGATTTGATGTTTAAATCATTTTATTATATAACTATATGTAATTTGAAATAATTGAAAATGAAGAATGACTTGAAGTCAATAAATGCTTTTCAGCTGGTTATGGTTTGGAAGTGGAACCTATATCTTTATTACGCTTTTATAAAAAAAACTTTTTTTTTAGTTTATATTTTATATAGGTTCTAAAGATATGAGTTCAAAGCTGAGTGAAGGCAGTTCTAATGAAGTCCAAATACTTAAAGTGAATAAAGAAAAACAAACACATGCATCTGCCATTATAGATCATAACATTATTGTCAGAGATGTCCTTATAGCAGCAGCAACACCTATAAGTGTAAAAAAAGAGATCAGTTACAGAGATTAAACAATATTTATTGTATGTGTAATGAGCTACTTAAAAGTAGAAATAAAATTTAGTAGTGACACTGACAGAAGCGCTATGAAACTGTAGCATACAAAGGTATTGAAATACAAGAAAACTATAGAGATGAATCAAATACAAAAAAACTATAGAGGTGAAAAACTTGTTTTCTTTTTTGATGGTATAATAATTAGCCGTATTTAAACAAAATGAAGCAGAAAATTATCTAGAGGACCAAATTTCTGTTTCTTTTTCAAGCCCAAATTTTGGCGTAAAGATGATTTCCTTCTTCTAGGAGTTGTACGAATTAACACTGGAAAAGCACTTGATCAGGTTTTAGTTATGCAAAATCTGTTGGAGTATTTTGAAGTACTCGAACAAATTTTTGCGGTTTGTACTGACACTAATGCCATAAATACAGGTAGATTGAAAGAAACAATTATAACTTAACAAGAATTTTAAAAAAACCACTGCTTTGGTTAATATGTAGACACCTTTACGAACTGCACATTAAACATGTGTACAAATCTATAACTGGAATTAAAATCAAAGATCCAACTAATAAAGTTTATTCCAACTTTATAAAGCAATAAGAGGAATTTTTGCCATTAATTTTTGCTCCTGATGAAAAAAATAGATTTAAAAGGTTTTCTGAGAATTCACTCACTTATGGCTCAGTCTTTATTTTGTAGAAAACATCTTGTAAAATATCTTGCTTTTTAATTTAATATTAACTCTGATAAGATAAAAGATTTTAAAGTTTATCAGCCCGGTGCCAGCCCGGTGCAGCCCGGTGCCAGCCCGGTGCAGCCCGGTGCCAGCCATGCAGCCCGCTGCCAGCCATGCAGCTCGTTTTAAGGCAGATTACCTAGTTCATAAAATTTCATCACCAGTAATTAATTATCTATTGAACGACAGAAAGAAAATGATTTTAACATGTGCTTTATAATCGGAATTTTCCATGCACCGATGTTTTTAAAGTCTAGTTTTGCTAACATTCTGTTTTAAATAACTTTAGAGCTTTCAATAATGAATTTATACAAAAAGAATAGGACTTGAAGAGTATGGAAGCTCATTCTTGGTACTTAAAAAACATTTATTATGCTTGCTCTTCTAAAACAGTTATTATTATTATTTATAAGGTTTACAAATCGGATTTGTATAGGCATGAATGCATGTCAACCTGTCATACAAATATACTAATCATAAAAATAATTTTTCTTCTCTAGATAGTTGTCTAGTTTGTTTTTAAAATTGTTCAAGGATTTGTTGACTACTTGTAAGGTGAAATAGCTTTGACGAAAACTATTATGGTTTCACATTTTGATTTGCAAACTAAATCAACCATTTTAGAAACTTTTCTTCAACATAAAGTTCCTAAAATAGAAATTATAACTTTGAAAAGCCAACAAATTTTGTTCTCAATCATAACACTTAATTGATAAATTTCATTAGAGAGGAAAGTTGGTTTAATTTTATCAAACTGGATATAGTTAGTAAGAATAAGGTCTGGTTATATACCAATCAAACTAAAGGCAACTTAAAGGATCTTGAATCTTAAAACAATATTTTTTTTTATATATATAAAAAAATTAAGTGTCA